TTATATTTTCAGGTGTTGTAGGTAGCGTAAGATAGACTAGATTTTTAATATAACCCCACAAAAAATAATCGGGTTTTGTTAAGTCAGGTGATCGAGCTGGCCATTTTTTTGGACCATTTCTACCAATCCATCTATTTGGAAACTTTTCATCTAATTCATCTGCCACTTCGCGTAAAAAATGCGCTGCTGCTCCATCATGTTGGTACCACATTGTTAGTCTTACAGCAAGGGAAATGTTTTCAAGTAAAGTAGGAAGATGATTTGCTAAAAAAATTAAATACATCAGACCATTTAAGTTGCCTTCAAAAAAATACGGCCCAATAACATGATCCCCAATTATACCTCCCCAAACATTTACACTCCATCTTTCTTGGCTATGTGTTCTGATGATGTTAGGATTTTTCGTGGAATAATAGTGGCAATTATGTCTATTAACGAATCCGTTCTTGTGGAATGTAGATTCATCAGAAAACAGCACTCTATCAAAAAAAAATGGATTTTGTTGCAGTTTAGTTTGTGCCCAGTTACAAAACACCATTCTATTATCAAAATCTTTTTTTGACTTACATGAGGATCTTCTATCGCTGTCAAAATTACAGATAATTGATTATCATTATCAGTAGCACGTTTGTCAATTATTGGTTTTTTATAAGCAACATTTCCTGTTTTGGTAAATCTTTCATGTAACTTTTCAAAACTTTTTTGATCAGGGATGCGTCTATCGGGATATCGTTGATGATAAATTCTTTTTGCCAATAAACAATTTCTGTCGAATTCTCCCAAAACATAGACCATGTCAATTAATTCGTTTTCGTAAAATTCATTATTAATAGAAGAATTATCGCGATCAGTAAAAATAACTTGACACTTCATTAATAAATAATCTGACACTGCATTAAGACCCAGCCTACTTGATTGAATGTTCACTTTCAATAAAACCACTGGTAGAAATTGGATTTTTGATAGATCAATGTCTTTTTGGAATTTACTTTTAAACGACGACAGATAGGTATAGGAAAGTACATGGGGAAGTCGAAGGGTATAAAATTCTCGTTTCATCGATGAATAGTAATACAGGGTGTTCTATTTGAAAAATTTGAAAAAAATGTTCTAGAAATTTTTGGAAATTGAAATTAATTTGTCTAACTTGGTCTAAAAAAATCTTTGGTCTATTGGCTTTATACATTTGTAGTTTTTACTTTCCTATCTGTATACAGATATAAGGAAAGTATAGGAATCATGATTTTTTTCGACCTCGAGTTTTCGACGGATTTTTACGTTTTGAGGTCCCCTGAATCCGTTTTGACTATTTTCGCGATGATGTCTGTGTGTGTGTGTGTCTGTGTGTCTGTGTGTCTGTGTGTGTGTCTGTATAACGCATAACTCATGAACCGATACACAGAAAAACACCAAATTTTAAACTTAAGCTTTGTTTCAGCGTCCAATGAGCTGATTAGATTTTGGGCAGTGTCAGAACATCTGGGGGGGTACTTTATAGGTGGTCATTTTTATATTTTATGGAATATATCTGTTATTTACGTTTGGAGAAGAAAATTCTTCAAATAAAAGTTACTTCTAATATAATTATCTATAATTTTTGTTTTATGCAAAATTTTCCTAAAATGGTCCGTATTCGAGAAATTTGACAAAATGTAAAAAACATAATTTTTTATAAAAATTGTTCAAATAAAAGTTGTTTATAATATAATTCTCTATAATTTTTGTCCTATACATAATTTCTCTAAAATGGACCGTATTCGAGATATTTGAGAAAATGTGTAAATTTCGAAATTTGAAGAAAACTCAAAAACGGATAAAGGAAAAAACATTAAATTTTAAACTTAAGGTTTATTTCGGCCTGACGTGAAATTATTAGATTTTGGACAAAGTTGGAACATCTGGGGGGGTACTTTATGGGAGGCCGTTTTTATATTTTATGGAATATATCTGTTATTTATGTTTGGAGAAGAAAATTGTTCAAATAAAAGTTACTTCTAATATTATTATCTATAATTTTTGTTTTATGTCAAAATTTCCTGAAATGGTCCGTATTCGAGAAATTTGATAAAATGTGCAAAATTCTGATTTTTATGAAAATTGTTGAACTAAAAGTTGTTTGCGATATCGATTTCTATAATTTTTGTTTATACATGATTTTTCTAAAATGGTCCGTAATGGAAAAGTGCTAAATTTAAATTTTTCTGTATTTTCGTTTTCAATGAATATCTATAGAAAAATGTTTCGAGGTAGATGTATGTGTAAAATGTATATATTTAGTTTATTCTCTAAACATTTATAGAGATGCTGCAATAGGTTGTACAAAATAACCGGAAAATGCCTATATAGAAAATGCATAGATAGGAAAGTCATGTGTTGGACACATCAGATTTTTTAAATTCTAACGTCAAATTCGAGAGAGCACTGCATATTTTAATAGGCGTCTGAAAATGTAATATTTTTTGGTATTTCTTCTTTTTCTGCGAAAGGCGTAGGATGTTAGAATCAATATTTTGTGGGTATGCACTAGTGACCATAGAGTACCTAAAATTGGAAAAAAAGTTGGGTAATTCCATTAAAAAAAAAATAAGTGATTTGCCTAATTTACTATTGGGCCACCCTGTACACAAGAAAATAATTTTCGGATATTTGGTTTTGACCACCATTGACAGGTATACTTCGAATAAATCGTTAAGATTTGCATAATAGGAGTTATAGAACTACGACAGAGGTTTGGCCAACCCTGTATAAGGAATTTAACAAAAATTCGAAAAAAGTATTTTTTAATGTTTTAATATTCAAAATAAAACACACGCATTACAATAAAACAAACAAATAGGTTATTACTCTAGTCAATGGCTTACATTGAACTAAAGAATTATTCAGGGTAGTACGTTGACATTCTAAAAAGTAAAAGTGTCACGTAAATTTTGGTTTTAAATAGACAGACTAGTTTTGAAAGAAAGACTCGAGTAAGGACTGCGGTCCAAAACTCTTGCCAAAAGGCGAGACTCTTGTTTCAGGACCCTAAGTCCTGAATACCGTAATGTGTAAAGTGAAGTTCTGTTCAACTATTTGTGTTCTATAGGTCGATATCTTTAACTTATTTTAAAAGTGTTGTTGGGTTTTGTTTTAAGATTTACATATAAATGCAAACTTTTTCATTTTCGTCCCGAGTATTATATTTATCTTATATAAAATATCATTACATAGTTACAGTTTCCAGTGCTATTTTAGTTGTCAATAAGTTCAAACTATATAAATCAATAGGAAGTTTATCGAGTTGTCAATCATAGGTCTTTATTAAGAGTTTGGATATATTATCAAATAGTGCTTTATCCCCTAAATATAATTTGTTTCATTTATTCTTGAGACTATTATATATTTTGTACTTATTTTAAATATACATTCGTTACAGTTTTAATACTTAGAGTCGAATTCTTAAACAGACCCTAAAAGCTTCCTTTACTTTAACCTTCCTTTAATATCCCTTAAAATACTATTATTATTCAACAAATGCTCCTTTCTTCGTTAAGGTAAGGAAGGTTCCTTTATATATAAGGTTACCTTAAACGCACGCTACTCGATCTACTTTGTATTTCACAAATGTTCCTTTCTGTCAAAGGAATGTATAAGGCAAGGTCCTGACCTTAAAAAATTAGGTAAGCTGCAGAGGTACCTTTAACGTTCCTTTCTGTTATATATCTACCATATTTTTGTCGTTATGGATGTGTTATTTTTGGAAGAATATTTTTTAAAATTTATGGTTCACATTTAGTTAAATAATATGTTCATAAATATTTCACGTATAATGCCTGATTACGATAATCCAGTAAAAAATATAAAAATGCTTGTTTTATTAAAAGGTATCGATTTTCAAAAAATATTGTTGTGCATAATCTAACGAACGAAACAGTGACACAAAGAGGGCTACCTATTCCATGTATAATAAGGCTAACAACAGCATTGAAGTAATTTTTCTATTTTTCAGTCTGTATGTGGGGATCTCTTAAAAATCAGCCAACCCAGCGTCTGTAGAATAATTAAAGAACTTTCTGAAATACATGCAGAAAAATTAGGGAATGTAGTTTATTTTTCGCGTTCAGATGCAGAGCGAAGACGAGTAAAGTTAAATTTTTCTAAAATGTGGGGCTTTCCTGTTTTGGGAGGCATTGACTGCACACATGTTTTTAGAAATAGAAAAGGTTGGATGTCAATTAATGTCCAAGCGATAACAGGGCCAGAACTCCAAATATTCGATATAGTTATTTTCTGGCCTGGATCCACATTTGATGCTAGAATTTTTGAAAACAGCAGTGTTAAGATTAGATTTGAAAAGACTGACTTGAGAAGTTCCTTTCTAGTTGGCGACAGTGGCTAGAAGCAGACCAAATACCTTTATACACCCATTCAAGATCCTCAAACACTACCTCAACAAAGATATAATAGATCTCTAATTAGTACAAGGGTATCAGTAAAAAGGACTTTTGGTGAATTAAAAACAAGATATCCTTGTTTCTGTAATAAGTTAAGAACAAGTGAAAGAATCATAGCTGCATGCGCAGTGTTACGCATTCATGATCCAATAGATTTTGAGGATGAACTTAATGCGAATGTCTGGAAAAATGTAGTATTGGATGCTGAAAATGTGAGAAAAACTGATCGAGGGAAAGTTATCAGAGATACATTTATCCAACACCATTTCGCTAATAGAGAATAATTTTGTTACATTAGTTTATTATTTAAAGATGTTTTAGTTTTGTTTTGAAATTTACCTTCAGTATAAATTTCATAAAAATTTTAATATTTTTTTTTGTTTCATAAGATAGAAAATATACATTTTCTTTATCAAGCAATTTATTTAATTCAATTTTATTTTTTATTTTTTATTTCATTTTCATTTAACTTTTTATTAATTCTTTTTTTAAAATCAATTTGGTTCTGGCACTTTCTTTTTCAATTATTGCCGTTTTTAAATTTTCTTCTGCTATTTTCAATCTTACTTTAGCTCCTTCTTCCTGACCCCTAACATTTCCTTATCTCCATCAATCATAGCAGTAATTTTGGCAAGACGTGCTTTCATTTCATCTAAAAAAATTAAAATATCCAATCAGTCAACTTTGTTATATATTAATTAATTTTTAAACTCACCATCTTCAATTTGATTTGCGTTTGAAGTATTGAGTACAATATTAGCCTTTTTAACCTTCTCTGTGAGATTACCTCATTTATCTAAAAAATAAAAAATATTCGGTAGTGAAAGTTCACAGAATGCCTTGTATAATAGTTTAAAGGTATGTAATTGGTAACTAAACGATTGTATATTTGATGCATGTTATCTATTTACTTTCGGAATACATTTATAAAAGTGAAAAACGATATAATTTAGGTAAACCAAACGAACAAAATGCACTCAAAAAATCTACTGTCACTTTAGTTGTCAGTGGAACTACTACTCTGAGAGTGGAACCATAATTACATCATCACTGAACTACCGTAATGAACTCCTCAATAATCTGTCTCCAAATATTTCTGTTTTGCTGGAAACTAGCACTATCGGTCTCTTTACCATCAATTTTTTGTATTTGTTATTTACTAAATAAATCAAAAAATGTTGTTCTTCTTCTGTGATTCTTTTTTTATCCATCTCTCCAAATACCAAACCAAAATTTAAATTTAAAATTCAAATGACTCGTAACTGACATTGACATAGAAAATTAACGATGTAATGTCAACTCTGGCAACAAATATTATCATAGCAACGATTCAATTACAACAAATTATAAAATCATTACTTTAACGATTTATTGATATTTTTATGTTACTAGAAGTTTCTTTTTTAATTCTTATATTTATTTTGTATACATTTCATGCTTAGTCCTATAAATAATTAACTTTTAGGATTTAAGATCATCATATTATCGTTTTACTAGGTTGACAAAACTAACTTCAAATTAAGGAACCTTTCTCCGTTAAGGAGTGTTTGAGGAAGATTTACGAATACATTTTTCAAATAAAGAAGGGTACCTTCCTTTTATTTTCCTTTATAAAGGAAGCTTTAATGCCCAGTTTAAGGGTTGTTTCGCCCTTATTATTATTATTCTCTTCTCCCCTTTCAAAAACCAGTTACGAAATATTCCAAACATTTGTGAAGCCTCTGTTTCCACCCTTAAATGGACTAGAAGAGTCTATAACTAGTTACCAAAGCCACTCGACATATGCTATTAAGGGATAATTTTATATTTTTCTAATACTATTTTTATTTGCCACTGGTGAATGGATGTTTCTTCTGGACTCCAGGACCCTTTGGCTCGTGATAGTGCTGCCTTTATCACTTAATAGTATATTGACAACAGTACCTGAAGTTGAACCAATGGGGTATTTATACTAATTGGTTGTTACAATTGGACTGTAGTTGGTACTGTAAGTAATTATATTTTAATCTGTATATATACATCCCAAATTTTTAGGAAGAAGACAGTTAATAAAATTGACGATTATATTTTATTGACAAAATTATAATACATAATTGTTTATTTAAATTAAATTCTAATTTTGAGGGCATTGATCAATGCGTATGCAACGTCCTTTAGGCTTATCCAATATAAATCCTGGATGACAACTACATCCTGGTACACAAATTGCTGGACAAATTTGGCAATTGGGTATTACTTTAGTAACACAAGTTGGGGGAGCGCAACAAGACCTACATTGCAAGGGATGTGAATTTACCATACAGTTATCTGAAACAAAGGTGTTTATTATTTAGGTGGTATTTGTATGTCCTTTTTGGTGACAATGGAATATATTACTGCGGTCCTTCTCTAGTTGATCTGTACCACGAAAGATCAGTAACAAATCTCCAAACTGTGTAGTTAGGTAAACCAATAAATGAAGAATTAAGCTTAGTGAACTGAAACCTATCAATCTGATAAAAAACAAAAGATCATATCCCTCTAAATATGAATGGAAAGACTGTACCTGATGACCTGCAAATATGGTACCTTGGCATGACCTTAGATGCTAATGGAAAGTACTTGTTGGAAAGAAAAGAAATGAATTAGGATTCACTACTACTGGCTCCTCAGTAGAAACTCAAAACTGTTAGCACGTGATAAAATATTAATCCACAACTAGGAGCCTAGTTTTAATTAAGCAGGTATTATAAAGGCGAAAACAAAATTGTACCTCTATCTCTTTTAAATGAAGTGAGGTCTATTTTAGGACATTGACTAATGGGTATACACCGTCGTCCTTCTTCAGGATCCAGTATAAATCCTGGATTACAGACACATCCTGGTTTACATTCTTGATCTGAGCAACCGTCACATCTTACCACTCTGTTCATGCAAGTTGGGGGTGGGCAACATGATTTACATCGCACGAGATGTGAATTTGGACCACACGTATCTGAAACAAAAACAAATCATTGGTGTCCTGTGAAAGGCAGACAATAAAAATCATATAAATTCATCTATTATTAAAAATAATAGGTTTTCAATCTTGTTAACCAGAATAAAGTTTTTATATTTTGGATTTGATTGGAAAGTTTACAAACAAAATATTTCACAAAATAATCTTATCAAATTCAACTGATTTATAACCCGGATACACATACTAAAGGTATGCTGTGGTTTCTATATCTATGATATGCTGACTTTCGATTCAAAATTCGTCCAAACCGCGCATGACGTATTGCGGGACGAACTTTCAAGTTATTTTGACACTTTTTGATTGAGTAGTGCAAAATAATTTTATAATTTATATATTTTTGTGTTAGTAGTGACTATATTTTCCTATATATAACAGGGAAGAACTAAATAATTGTTTAAAATGCCGGGCTGCGCAGTGGAGATATTTCCGAATGCCACAAAATTTGGGCAAATTCTTATCGAAGAAAGAACAAACTTAATTGAAATTGTCGTATCCATTTAGAGGAAATTAGTTGTAAGATTCCTCTTAAACATAGACGCAAGAAAATGAAACTGAATTCCACCAGGTGCACGGGCCTCATTAAGCAAAGAAAATAAATCGGTATTTAAAAATGTCAGCAGATAAAACAGCAGTTTTCTGCCCCAATACAACGGTCCTTAGTAATGCCATGCATGAGCAAGACGCGAACATATATATAAGACTAAGATAAATGAACAGAAAAATTGGTTTTGAGTATTTTCAAAGTAAACTTGACAAAAAAATGTTTAAATTTACCAAATAAAAAGTAATGTTTTTGTGTACTTACTTTTTGTAAATAAATAATTTGTTTGTGCACACTTATTTTTATTTTACATAATGAGAAAAGATATTGCAAGAGAACTACTACGCCCAGAAAGTACAAATGTGAGTCAAACTTATATTTTTAGTCTATATCTTTTACTTATCTTATAGCCAGGTTATGGATTTTGCCACAAAATACCTATAATTTATGAGAAACATTAATATTTTTATTAGTATTATTTACCCTAAACCTTCATATTTGTGAACGAATTTATTACAAAATAACCAATAAAGATTAAGTTACTGCATAAAATCTTAAATTGGCAAAATATCGAATTTTGAACACACCCTCCCATTAAATTCTTGTAATAATTCTATGTCCCACATGACGTCACCGTCAGTCAGCTGCATGCGCAGCAGGAACATATCGTTAGTATGTGTGTATCGTGGTTTATAACAACAAAAAATTATTATACCGTAATTTAATAAACCACTTACAATAACCACTAACAACAAGAATGATACCAAAAAAATTGCAGAGAATTATTAACTTCATGATTAACAATATCAAAACTTTTGAATAATTACATTTATATACGTGTATTAGTGAAAATTTTATTCTATAATGCATATTAATTTGTTCTTTACAAATATTTAATTTATTACTTAAAGTCAGTGGTGGTTTCAGTTTAATTTTTATCCAAATCGTACAACATGTACCGAACTATACATTTATTACAATCAAAATTGAAATTTCGAGTAAGATATTTTTAATTGTAAGATATCAAAAACTAGGTCCTAAAGTAACGGAAAATGAATTTGCGGCCGCATTAATGATTTGAAGAGAAAATCCTGAAACAGGTCGATTTTTAATTTTAAATTAAAAGTGTTTGACGTAACAACTTTACCCTTTAGGTTACCCCTCTCGGCAAGCTAACTATTTTATTTTTTTAAATAAAAAGAGTGGTAATGTGACACCTCATTTTAAAGGGTTTTTAATTCTCTATTTATTAACCTAGTAGGTTTTAAGTTTTGGATTTTTCTTTTCAAAAAATAATTGAAATACATTAGAAGACAATAAAAAAGACGTTGAAATTTTTCTAAAACATTATGTAACATTTCTGGGGTGATTTGTTTATTTTTATGACTTATTCTGGTTTTAACATATCTATGTTGTTGGGTCTGTTAAAGAATACCTTTGATTTTAGATAACTGAATAAAAAATAACACAAAGGGGTCATGTTTGGAGAGCGAGGAGTCCATTCACTTTCACCGCGTCGGCAAATATATCTACTTGGAAAAATATGATTAATAGGCTCTTACTTCTGCTGCATAATGTGGTGTAGCTTGATCTTGCTGATACCATACCAATTATTTAGTTCGGGTCAACATCATCAGGACAATATCTTTTTAACTCTGATACTAAACATTTTTGTAAGAAATCTAAATAACGCTTCTCAATCAAAGAAATATGGCCCGATAATTCGATCATTTAATATTCCAGGCTAAACGTTTAATTTAATAGAAAATTAAGTGTTCCCTTCCACCATCCAGTGTGGTTTCCAAGAGCGACAAGTTTTCTTGTTTACTATTCCATGTAAAGTGAAAGTCAAAAAAATAATATTTTTTCAAAATACCAGATTTTGTTTCCATCTATTTATCACGATTTTGCAAAATTCCAATCGATGGTCATTTAGTTCCTGCATCAATTAAATTAATTTTATATGGGAGATATTTTTCTTTTTTCAAAACACGCAAAACAGACGTTTTACTTAAGCAATCGTGCCAGTGTTTTTCAAACAGAGCTCACGGGGATTCCCATTACAGCAAAAGAAATCATCAGAAACTATATCACTAGAAGGAACATGCTTATCTATACAGATAGCAGACAAGCACTACTCACCTTGAACAGACCACGAATTTACTCACGGTTAGTACTAGAATGTCACGAAGGTTTGGCCTGATTCACTGGCCACGAAAGCAGCCAACCAAATACTTTTTGGACCTCGTCCTACCATTGGCCTGACAAAATCGGCAGTGTCAGACCTAATTAAAGAACGTTCTCTTGTGAAATTCAAAGAAAGATGGGAACAAGAAACTACACAGTTTCCAGGGAGCTTTTAAGTTAATCTGACAACACTACAGCAAACAAATACTTGACTATGACTAAACAGAATACTGTCAGAATTCCTAGTGGCTTAGCTACCGATTCAAAGAATATTTCTGAATTGGTAAGTCGTTTCAAACTCTTTATTTGTGAAGCCATGTAGTAGGTAAGTAGTATTTTATCAATTATGTATTGTAATTTAATTTTATTAGTTTATTGTTTAAAAAATGAAATTCATGCCCACGCTCAGGTATCTAATCCTTTTGTGGGTGTTTTCATTTTTATTTACATACCAACATTATGCATTGAATTGTTTATACTAAGTATAATTCGCAGCTACTTGTAATTATTTGTGTGTGAATAAAAATTATTATTATTATTATGTTTTGGTATCACTATCTCTAGGATAGGTGGGACAAATGCAAGATCGGCCATGGCAAGATTCTTGCATTTTAATTATATAGAAACGTTTAGGAATGTGCGTATAATAGAGGTAGTGGATAGTATCACTGCCTTTTGGATAATCGCTATTTTATTGGCAATTTCCAGCATCCTCAGATTGTTAGTGAGTGACTTTGGTACTACATATTATTATTATTATTATTATTATTATTATTATTATTATTATTATTATTATTATTATTATTATTATTATTATTATTATTATTATTATTATTATTATTAATTATTATTATTATTATTATTATTATTATTATTATTATTATTATTATTATTATTATTATTATTATTATTATTATTATTATTATTATTATTATTATTATTATTATTATTATTATTATTATTATTATTATTATTATTATTATTATTATTATTATTATTATTATTATTATTATTATTATTATTATTATTATTATTATTATTATTATTATTATTATTATTATTATTATTATTATTATTTATTATTATTATTATTATTATTATTATTATTATTATTATTATTATTATTATTATTATTATTATTATTATTATTATTATTATTATTATTATTATTATTATTATTATTATTATTATTATTATTATTATTATTATTATTATTATTATTATTATTATTATTATTATTATTATTATTATTATTATTATTATTATTATTATTATTATTATTATTATTATTATTATTATTATTATTATTATTATTATTATTATTATTATTATTATTATTATTATTATTATTATTATTATTATTATTATTATTATTATTATTATGTTTTGGTATCACTATCTCTAGGATAGGTGGGACAAATGCAAGATCGGCCATGGCAAGATTCTTGCATTTTAATTATATAGAAACGTTTAGGAATGTGCGTACAATAGAGGTAGTGGATAGTATCACTGCCTTTTGGATAATCGCTAATTTATTGGCAATTTCCAGCATCCTCAGATTGTTAGTGAGTGACTTTGGTACTACACCGGTGGAAGATATAATCAACGGGACTACAGACACACTCTCCTGGCGCCACATTTGTTGAATTTCCTGCCCAAGTCTCTGGTACTTTGCTTCCTTCTCAGCGTAGTAAGTCAAGATGTTGTGACCATTTGGGATTCCTATGTCAATTAACAAAACTCGTTTTCTTGATTTATCAACGATGATGATGTCTGGCCTATTGTGGACTATAGTACGGTCTGTTAGTACCGACCTATCCCAGTACAACTTATGTGTAGAGTTTTCCAAGACAGGACTAGGCTCGTACTTGTAATATGGTATCTCTTCGCTCAGGAGGCCATGTAAGCAAGCCAAACTTTGATATTATTATTATTATTATTATTATTATTATTATTATTATTATTATTATTATTATTATTATTATTATTATTATTATTATTATTATTATTATTATTATTATTATTATTATTATTATTATTATTATTATTATTATTATTATTATTATTATTATTATTATTATTATTATTATTATTATTATTATTATTATTATTATTATTATTATTATTATTATTATTATTATTATTATTATTATTATTATTATTATTATTATTATTATTATTATTATTATTATTATTATTATTATTATTATTATTATTATTATTATTATTATTATTATTATTATTATTATTATTATTATTATTATTATTATTATTATTATTATTATT